CTGGTGTGCACAAGGGGGTCATAGTCAATTCATATGCGTCAAGCCACCTACTATGTGCAAGGGATTGTGCCAACATTGAAATGCATGTTTCCAGATGGCCACTCACTGATCTGAGGTCTGAAGATTGCACTTTCCCCTCTGGCATTTCTGATAGAGAGTCTGCTCCCTTATTTCAATACTGAGCATGTCCTCTCCATTGTCTTTCTCCTTTTGCTTCAGTACATTGCTGTGGGGAAATGAAAACTGTCCACAATGATGTGTCTTTTTTCTTCATAATATTTTAGATAGAAAGATGCTTCCCTATTATTATTCTTGTCAAATCTCTGCCTCCTGTTGGTTTCATTCTTCTTCATTTTTTATTCCTGGTAGAATCACAGAACTGTTGTTTTGCTCTTTGTGTAAGTGCCATTAAATGTGTTTCTGACTTGCTGCTACTATTCTAACAGACACTTGTCATAGGCTATTAAGTCATTACTATATTTATATGGGATTTGGTTACATGTGGTTTAGCAGGCTTAAGGGACAACCTGATGGCCTGCTAGTAGATGGATTTAAACCTGTCTGTGATGGATGATAGATTAGGGTTTGGGTGTGATTATTATTTAATACTTAGTAAAGTCTCTGAGTGGACTAGTTGACAGTATATCATCTGGTTGTCAACTAGATTACTTTGGTGGAATACAAAACCAGAGACAGAGAGAGAGTAGGTCCTATCATCATGTTCCTTGATTATCCTTGATAATTTTATACTCAGAGAACAGGGCTGAAGGGATCCCAGGCAGTGTCTGTGTAAATGCTAAGGAAGCAGAGAGCCTAATTGGCTTCTGGTCTCCACCCTAATCTAACTATGACTGTTTTCTATAAGGAACAGATGGCTTATATTGTGATCTGTGAGACGCTGGAAAAATACACACACAAAAATTCTTAAATAAATGTACCCACTCATTGTCATAGAGTATGAAATTCATCCCTTGGAGTCATATCTTTGGGTGTAAGCAAGAGACGGGGTCATTATTTGTGAAAGAGGAGGGAGGAGCATGAGTATGGATGTTGAGAACCATTGTTATCTCAGCCTAGAAATTTCTGATGAGGAAGTCATAATCTTATGTCTTGTGAGAGAAAAGGACTGAATCCATTGGGCTAAAGCATTGTCTTCCTTAGAATTTTCCTGAGAATATATTAAAAGCCTCGTACAGATAGCAGCTAAACTGAAAGGCAGCTATGTAGAGAAGACTAGCACCTAGATTTTATAACTATGTCATCTGGTCCACATTTTGACTCTATCCATACTGCCTGCATTTCCTCTGGAAAGTTACTCACTCCTCTGTGCCTCATGTTTCTTACTTGTAAGATGGGGCTAACAGTTATTCTTAACTCACAGGGCCATTGTGATGGCTAAAGGAGCTACCATGCCAAAAATAATAGAATAGTGTTTTGCACTTAGCAAGTAGTGCAGAATTCATCACAACTATCAATTATACTTTGGGATAAAGTTATTTCTTTCAAATTGCTCTTTTCTAAGCCAGTTGGGAACCTACTATGGCCTATCCATGTTGTTTTGATGAAAGGAGAACTGAAAGGACTTTGAGTTTGAGATCCCCCTCTCTCCCAATGTGGTCAGGTGGGTGTGTCTTTCAGTAGGATGCATGAAACTACTTGAGAATTGCTCATGTCTCCATAGGGACAGCTGAGAGGATAAAAGGTGTTAGGAAGATTTTTTTTTTTGATAATCATTTTGTTGGGGTCGTTAATCATGACATGGTCTTTCTTTTCATTTTTGCTCCTTTTTGATGATGGAGAGGATTTTCTATGTGATTGAGGATGATCCAGTATTGGTGACACTATGAGCACTGTTTGTAGAAGGAACTGGCATCTCAGAGACTGACAGACCAAGGTCCAAGTCCTGTCTGTGCCACCTATTTATTTTCTTTGTAATTCTTGATAAATCACTAAAGTCTCAGAGTTGTAATTTCTCCTCTACAAAATGGGCATGGTTAGATATGCTTGCCTCCCAGAATGCCGGTGCTAATCAAATGTGATAATATGTGTGTGACAGCGACTTGTAAACTGTAAAGGGCAACAGAGCTATAAGTTGTTATTATTAGTGATTCCTTTAATTTCCTTGCTCTCTTCAAGCAGACCTGAATTTTAGCAGCACCTGTGTGCTGTCATCACTTGGCTGTTGATTTTATTAGAGGGTTTTGCTCATAAGCCTGTCACTGATAGTCATATATGGGCTTCTCTTGCAGTAAAGATGGTATATTCACATTGCTGGACTGATTCAGGATATCAACATGGAATCTCTGTTCTTGTCGAGCAAGGAAAGCGTCCCAACATTTTCAGAGGAGGTTATTCTCACTCCAATTTGTAAATCACAAAAATAGTAGGAAACTTTTTAGAATCACGAGCAGTTATTTGGTGATACTGTTACTCTGATAGTTGATAAAACACTTTCAGAAATGAAGAGAATTAGAGGTTGACCAGGGTGGAATGAATGCTATAAATCAAGATTACCTAAAGGGGATATGAGAGATAAGGGATTAAGCTGAAAAGAGATAATAAGGGAAAATATCCAAAAAGCTTGAGAAAAAAAAAAAATCTACCACCTCCCAGGAACTGATTTCTGAGTGTTACTTTGTGCTATTAAAAATCACTCTCACAGAAACATTTTTACTTGTAAATTCATGTCACAAGAATGTTTTTCATAATTTTGTGCCCAGGCTCAATGCAGTGACTTTTGGCTTCACTGGATAGAAGTATTAAAAGAGAAAAAAGGGAGAGGAAAGAGATGTCACTGTCAGCTGTGGACAGAATCAGATGGGGTCAGACCTGTACTCTGCAGTCACAGAAAACATTTTCAAATACCTTACCTTTCAGGTCTCAATCACAGACAGAAATAGAGCACAAAAGGTACCTCTTAGGGAAGACTTCATTTTTCCAACCTTTTGGCACTACTGAAAACTGGAGTGACTGAGTGACTGGTATAGACCCTTGGCACCAAGTGGCTGGAGTAAATGGAACACTGCAGGGACCCAGAACTTTACCGCCACTGAGCACATTACTGGAGAAATACAGTACGGAACCCAGCAGGCTTCTGCAAACCATGCATCCCTTTAAGTTAATTGGTGTTATATAGAAGCTGAAATGCTCGGCTTATTTACAAAGCTACAGATTTATGTAAAGCAAAACCAATTACACTTAATGCCTAAACTATTCCAGGTGCTCAATGATAATGTTGCTAAGTGCTAGAGAAGAAACTGCTGTGTGAATGCACCCTGTTCTGAATAGAAGCAGGCATAGTTACTGCAATTTAGCTAATCACAAGTGTCAACTCCAACAGGAGAATTCGAAGCTCTTTGCGTGTTTGCTTTGGGTCAACTTTATAATTCTGTAGATCTTTTATCTCAAAGGATGAGTGAAAGCATAATGGACACCTTTTTTCTATTATAATGTGGAAATTAAGGAGATGAAGGCAAATTTGGGGGAGGGGCAGCAAAATAAGGCAAATCCTTTTTCTAACAGTGAGAGAGAGCATTAAAGGTTCCCATTTACACCAAGATGAGATGGTTAAAGGTTTCTTGATTTTGGGGGTGTTCATTAAATTCAAATTGCAAACTTGGCATTTAATCTTTTGCAGCAAGGAAAATTTCTAAGGTACAGTAGGGTCTACCCATTGTTTTGCCAGGGACTGAATGCTAACCAAAGAAAGGTTTGAAAAGTTGTGGGGAAAGAATTTATGTCTGTAAGAGCTAGTTTTTTCACTTGTCCTCAAAACAAACAAGCAAATAATAAATAGTTTAAGTAAGAGAAACACCTGGTGCTTTACAGCTGCTCTTTTGCAATTAAAAATGCATATCATAACCTAATCAAGTTGAATAAATCTTTTATTCTACAAATCTAAAATATTTTATGTGTACACAAGGGAGGTGCCTAATTGCAGAATCATTTGCAATCAGCTGATCAACCCTCCTACCCAATCCAGCATGAACTGTACTAGATAGCAGCTTTTAAGACTTTAGGGAGCATAAAAATGATTAGAGGGGGCTTGTTAAAACCATCAATGTCTGGACATCAGCCTCTTAAAATGTTTGGGTTCAGCTCATGGTAGTCTGTGCAGAGGTAAGATGGATTCATCTGGTACAGGTAGCCCTGAACCAAACTTTAACAGACATTGGGACAAAGGTATAGGACATTAGTTTTACTCAATTAAAAATGAATTCCAGATTTCTTTCCTTACAAAGGAAGAAACTCTTGGTATATGACTTTTCCAAATGCATTTGAATTGGTAGTAGTGGATCTTGCAAACTCCACTACTGAGATGAGATCCTCCTGATCACAGGTATGATCCTGGCACCTGGCCTCTTCCTTCTTTAATCTCAACAATTCCATTGTTTACATTTATTTGTCAACTTTTTCAGTATGCAGATATTCTCTTTGTTAAAGTCTCTATTTTAGTAACATTGCTTTTGAATTCAGAGAAAATTTAATTAACCAAGTCATATCTTGATAGTATAATATCAGGATCAAATACAGCAAGATCACCTATATGTATTTATTGTTTACACAGACATATATATCATGTGTTCACAATGCCTGGAATGGAATAATGGCTCAATAAATTTACTAAAAGAGAATACTAACATACTGTTACTTTGCTTCAACTTATTAAAACTGTAAGAATATATTGTGTTTAATGGCTGACCCACTGTAAAAAGTGATAAAATATTACTGGTGTATAGGAAATTGTCATTTTTCTGACCATAGAATAATCACCTAAACTTTGAAATTACTTTGTTAACTCTAGAGCATAACATATTAATGCAAAAAAGTATAGAAGCTTACTAGAAGGGCCATAATTGGTCTTTGTAAATAAAGTACACAGATAATATTCATAAAGTCACTCCCTTATGTATTGATTCTTACACTAAAATGCATGACGTTTTCAACAGAAGAAAACAATGAATACCACGCTCATAAGCTAGGTAGAGTCAAATATAGTTTCATAGGGCTGTCTCCCAGAGATCAATACTTGAAGAAATTTCCTGTGTACTGCCATAAAATTTCAGAGACTTTTCATGGAGAAGTGTTTCTTCAAGATTGCTTCCACTGGTGTTCTGGGCATTAAAATGATTTAGATTACAATATCTAAAAAAGAAAGAAAGAAAGCTCTCCTTAGGACCAGATGTAGATGAATTGATAAATCATTTGCTTTTCTCCTGTGCTTGTGTACTTATTATGATGGGCACGGAGACACTGGCACAACAGTGATGATTATTTAAGAGCACTGCTCACCAGAATGGTCTTTATACAAGGACAAAGGAGTTTTGTACAAGTTTAGTACAAGTTCAGGCTCTCCTAAGGACCTTTAGATGGTGCTCTTTTACAACTTGCTCTTGCTTCCATGCTGCTGGTGAGACTGTGGAACCCTCTGGACTTTGCAGATTTCATGCCCTCTGGACTCATGAAGGCTTATCAGATGCACTGGGGATTTGTAAATTTGGTGCCAAGACCATTGTCAAAGAAGGAATCCATAGTTCTAGAATCTACTCCCAGTCTCAAAAAACCTTGCCTTTTCTGTCTTCTGAGTGTCTTACCAGGCACTACACTAATGGGATGAAATTACTCCCATTTCACAGATTGAAAGAATGAAGTTCCAAGAGTTAAATAACTTTCTCAGGGTTAATATAAATAATAGTTGGCAGAGCCTGGCTTTGGAACCAGGACTCAATTACTCTGAACCCCTGGTCTTTTTTCTTGATGGTAATGCTGACTCTAAAAGCAAATTATTTTCCTCAACACTTCGGGGTAAGCTCTAGGCAGACAGGCATTTTTAGACTGCTTTTTCACTACTGTGTTCTTAGTGTGCAGGCCAGTGCCTGATTCCTAGAAGATGATGGGTATTTGTTGAATGAGCAAAGGAATGTGAGCTGTAGATCCAATTTTATCAAATACACATGAGTCTCTTAGGTTAACTATTTTTGGTTTGTGAAGGTTTCAAAAGCTATTTTTACCTTCTTTTTGTTTTCAATAAATTGCTAAAAATAACTATGAGTAACAATGCTGTCTGAATAAATCTGGTCATTTGTCTCTGATTTGTGTCACTTTCAGTAATTGTTATAGGCTCTGCACAAAAAATTACTGGTATCTTTGGCAAAATAAATGCAATGAAAGCAACACTGTAAGACGTGTTTTATAACAGTAGAGGGACAGTGGTGTTAAGTTACAAAACAACCTTTCTTGCCCTCAACCCTAAAACACCTACAATTTCTCCTTTTTTTTGGCATCCAATATGGGATACTCTTTATATTAAGCAATGTAGACATATTTATCTAACACTTTTAAGAAGGAAGAGACATTTCATCTGCTCACTTCACCCCTAAACTGGAGAGTCTCAGGCATAACATGTCACCATCGTACTATTTCAAATTTGATTTAGGAGGACACCAATACAGACAGAGGTAGGGGGGATGTTTTTTGGTGCATGTAAGAGGTAAGTCTGGTCTGACATAAATGAATAATTCCCAACTGTATACAACTGGGGATTGGAGGTGAAGTTACAGTGACCTTGACAAGATTAACTTGGTTCTAGGATTTCACACTAGGTTTGTATCTCACTAATAGAAGCTGGTGGTGGGGGTGCAGTTGAGTGTTAACACAGATCTAATGTTACCTGTGCATTGGTAAGGATACTGTTTCATAATTAATCCACTCTCTTCAAGATCCTGAGGATATCAGGACTGGCCTGTTTTTGATAGATTTGCCACAATTACCTGATTCTGAACACATAAGCATTTGGATTTGATAAAAATTGGATTGTGTTAGAATGTGTAGTGATATCAAATACTATTTGACTTATAAATAAGAAGCTTCAAAAATATTGACCCCGGGACACAGGTGCTTTGTCCTGTTTCTTTGCATAGTTACAGTTCACTAGTGTTTGACAATAATAATTGGTATCATGTACTCCTTGCTACAGACACTGATCTTACTCCCTTCAGTGCTATAGATTTCTTCCCTAATTCTTCTGATGTGGCCTGTCTAATCCTGATGGCCAATAGGTCACTAAGGCAATGTGTGCTTTGGCACTGATGTAGTTGCTTCTAGCTTCTTAATCTCTGGAGGCAAAATTTCCAAACCCATTTTTTCTTCTGATATATGATAACCATTCTTTTCTTGTGGGGTTGCTGAGCAACAATGGTAGTGGTTATAGTTACTTTATCTGAAGGAACGAGTTTCACCCAACCCTCCAGAGTTAAGGACTATTGTAGACCAAAGAGTGTTATTCTCTGCAACACAAGGTATTTAGTTTGCAGACAACTAAATTTGAGTTTGAATCCTAGTTATTAGTTGAAGCTAGTCAAATTAATTAACTAGCTATTTATTTTGGTTTTCTTATTAAATGGAGTGATAAAAATCTACGTAACAGGCAGGTGTTGGAGATGAAACAAGATTGTGTGTACCATATTTCATAAGACACAGGATACTCAACACATGGAAAATTAATTTCTTTCCTTCCTGCTTTATTTCTTCCTCTCTTTTCTTTCCCTAAAAATATGTAGGAGAAAAGAAAATGGAGAAAAGATGGGAAGATTCGCAAACAATTACATTTATTTCTGAATAAACCCTAGGTTAATGTGTAGTCCCTTCTCTTGGTCTTCCAAACTCTGGTGCCCTGTTTATTTTTATTCTCACCTCATTCTCTGCACAGTATCCCTCACCTCTTCATAGTGACTTACTTGCTCAACAGTCAAAAATATTCACACTTGAATATTCTAATTTGAACACCAATATTAGCTCTACACAGACTAACTCAGAGTTGCTTGTTTCAACTCTTATTTCCCTCCTGCCTGGAACAATCCTTAGCATGTTGGTTGAAGGTGTGAATGAGTAAGGAAATCCCTGAGCTAACAGAGTCTGGTTGTAGTATAAGTCCTACTTGAAGTCAGTCATAATCATGGTCACCTTGGCTGTACCTCAGCATAAGTCCAAGAGAAGAATAAAACAAGAGAAGAAGGGACATTAGGCTAAGTCTGAGACTCTCATTGTTATTATGGCTGACATTTCTGAACATCTACTCATCCCCAAAATAACTCTGAATTGCTATTCTTACTATTTCCATTTTACAAATGAAGAAACCAAGGCTAAATAGCTGATGTTTATACTTGCAGAGTGTAGAGAGTGACTTTTATGTTACTTTAGGAAGGACAAGGATCAAACCTCACAATAGGATAAAAATAAAAATTGAGTACAGGTTTGTGCAAATTTGCAGATGGGTACCACTTTCATGGTTGGAGCCAGTGGATGGAGGGGAAAGAGAACGACCATCAGGTTCGATCTTCATGACTGAATTTGTTTTGTTACAAAGCTGAAGAAATTCCTATTGGGTCTTTCTGCAAGATTGTCTAATTTTCTAATTTCATTTTCAACCTAAGAATGGGACAAGCATTTAGGGAAAGTATATATTGTGAATGATCATTCTGATAACTTATATGCCTTGAAAAGTAAGAAATGTACATATTCAGGGAGCCATGAAGGCTTTTAGTTTTGTTATCACTTCCACTTTGAGGGGTTTAAGTGCCTCTCTTAGTGAACCATGAGTTGCATGAGAGTAGAAGCAGAGATGGCACTGACTGAACACTTGCTGACTTACTGAACTCTGATTTGCTACATTACCTATCACATAGCTGATATTCCTAACGAGATTTGGTAAAAGAAGAAAAGATCGATTAAGGCAAGGGAGAAGTGGCAAAGGGTGAGAATATGACTAAAGAGATAAATGGAGGAAAGTGAAGAAAATTAAATTCTGTTTATGCTTGTTATGTAGCAGAAATTCACCTCCCGGAAAACCATGTTTAGTGTTACCGTTTTTATTATATATGTGTGAAAACAGAGATCTAGAGAGGTTAGAAAGCTTGCTCAAAAGCATATAACCAGAGAGAGGGGAAGAGAGAGAAAGAGAGAGAGAGAGAGAGAGAGAGAGAGAGAGAGAGAGAGAGAGAGAGAGAAGAATATGGAACAGTAATAGATGGGTGATAGATAATACATATTTAGCCACTGAATAGTCTAGAGTAACTATTTAAGGAATTTTTCAGTTTTCTATTGACTTTGAAATGGTCACTGTTGATTTAAAGGCCTGAATGGGATCCAAATCTCAAGCATCATTACATTTCTAGCTATTTGTTCAATGATATTTGATTCTAATGGTAATGACTCATTCATTCTTATTATCAAATGGTTATTTGTAATTTTAAGGTGGTACTAGATAGTGGAGGAAAAATCTTGTTTTATAATATGTTTTAGAATTGAATAAAACACTATTTTATCATGAGGATCAATGGAAAAGTGAAGTCTAAAGTGAAATTTCTTGCTCTGAATAATCTATTAAATTTCTATAGTATGCTAATTTTTCCAGTCATGGCATACAGGATTCCTGTTGGCCCACAGATGGTTCCCAGACCAATATTTCATGGACTTAGAAACTGCTCATTTCACCACACACTTCCTTACCTTTGTGAAATACTCCAGAATCCCAGGACGTTCAACAACGCTAATGATGCCAGCAAGAAGAAGAAGCTTTCTAAATTGCCTTTGCTTAATGTGTTTGGAAACCAACTGCCTGTTTGGAACAAATGTAATTGTTATTCAACTGCAGAGTTGTAAGTTTCTGTGAATATTTAATCACTCCACAATTCATAAAGCTTTATTCGCTTCAATAATATCTACAAAGCAAAAAGCTCATCTAAAACTTCATTGTCAAAATTCAGTTAAATTTGTAATTAACAGTAAAATAATAAGCTAAGCACCCAAATAATTTCAGGTTGAGAAAAACTTTACCTGGGTTGTTAGGGTAATTCTAATTATGCTATTAATTTTCAGGAACCAGGTTTCTTTTATTTATCCTTATATTTCTGGCATCTAGAACTGTGCCTGGCACTTGGGGATTGTCAGTAAATACTCATTGAATCCATAAAAATATTTTTCATGCTCAGGTAGTCTTTTGCATATGCAAATGGTAAGACAAGTGAGATAATGCATGTAGATAATAGATATTACGTTATTTTGACAGCTTAGATGAATCTATGGTTATTTTATGGTAATGTCAATGGCCCTATTGGTCAAATTACTTGAGTCCTGACTGACAAGGAAGTTTTCTTTTGATTTGATGAATAATTTCTCCAATTAAATAACCCCAAATAAGGGATCCTTACTTTCTTATGATGTCAGACTGGATATATATAAATTATTAAGGATTTAAGGCAAGTGCTTTAATTTGATCCTAAGTTTTGACTTTTGCTTTTGATCTTGGCAGTAATTTTCTCTTTTTTCACACCTATATTAATATCTGTATCAATCTATGCACACACTCAGTTTTTCCTCAATGGGCTTTGAGCATTATTATTCAATATTTTATATAAATTATAATGTACTGCACATATTATATATGCAACACTTACTTTTAGGCAATATTTCAAAAAGACATGCAATCTAGTATTACCAGATATATTACTGGTATACACTATTATAGAATGTTTAACAGCAAAAAAGTTATGTATTAACAGAAAGAACTCAATTCAATTGTAGTTACGAATGGGTAGAATATTTCTAAAAATGTTATGCACTATGAGAGCAGGAGCTGATCATTGTTGAATATTCAAATGCCAATGTTTTGGCATTCTATGTGTTTTAAAAGAAACAGCTCCTAAAATGGGTGGTGAAGAGGATTTTGGGACCACAGCAAGCAGTCTGTGTGCCAACAAAATTGATGTTTGATGCTATCATTGGCACATAGGTTGTGGGTTGCTTCTTGAACTAGAAAATGTTTCCTTTTCTCTCCTTTGGCAATGCATACTTTCAAATTGGACTTGAATTAAATTCTCTGTTCAAGGTTGATAGTCAGCAAGTGCATAAGTAGGAAAGCTGTGATTAATTATGCCATTTCCCATTGAAAACTGTTTTTCTTTTATCATTTAACTTCCCAATGACCAGCATTATGGATCAACCATGAAAATTAGCTTGTGCCATTCTAGTCTGGGATCCATAAATAAAAGTTGTACTGAGTTTAGAGTTGTTTTGTAAGTTCCACTTCCCCGTTTTATTAATTTGTGTACCATTACAAAGGACATTTGGTTGCTGTATTGACATGATGCTTTCATCTATGGCATTTATGGAACTAGTTTTGCTGAGGATTTCTCTACATGTCTGTGAAGTGAGTATTGTGCAGCCCTGTTTGTATGTGTTGTGTGTGTGCAGGAACTAAACATCTGGGTGTACTTGAATGGGGGAGAAGTGGACTGAAGGTCATGATAAGGTGAGATGACATTCACTTACTTCCAGGAAGAACAAAGCCATCCTGCTAAGCCTATTCAAATAGTCCTATTTTCTTGAATTAATATCCCAGTCATATTTCTGTCCTTTTCATTTCACATCAGCACTTTGCATGTCATGCAACTATACCATTTCATCACCGTGTTTCTCTGGCTAAAGTAAGAGGAGTTTTCAAAAATCATGTGAAGCCTCAGAATTAACATGACATTAATTCTTTTTGGAGCATGAATTTTTGTTAATAATAAGTAATTGAAAAGACTGTCTTTATATTATAATGAAATCAGATGAGAAAGAAGAATATAAATTTTATAAGATCTTTAAAGGTAAAACATAATATTTCTAAGAGATTGTGCAATTAAAACAAATACCAGCCTTTTGGGAGACAGTACCAGATCCCCTGGGCATGCCAGCATTCCTGCCTCTGTCACCAGGGATTCTGTGTCAGGCACAAATGAGAAACATTGTGACTTCATATAAGGGAGTATGGGGTGACAGGCCAGGAGATTGTCATGCTAGGAAGGTTAGAGGAAGGTAGAGGAAATTTGAAGGTATGCCCAAAACATATTGTCAGTAGGGTTAGTTTAAAAAAACCAAGACAACGGATTACCAAATTCCTGATAATGCTCCTGCATTCCTTCATAGATGTCATTTTTAGTGTTCAGTTTTTTTATAATACTGATTTTCATGTTAGTCCCATATTTTTTGCCTTTTTAATTCTGACTTTTTTGAGTTGACTTTCATGCTGAGCTCTGTGGCAACGAGAGCCATGGCCTGACTTGATAGCCTGGGACAAACAGTAGCATCAAATTGAACGAAGAAATTCTTCATGAAACCTAAACCTTATTTCATCTAGTAGAGATTATCTTTCTACATAAAGAGGGCACTGGGCATAAGAAGATACACAAAGGAATGGACTTTGGGGCAGACAGACTTTTTAAGTGAAATCTTGCCTCTAGTTTTAAAGTTTTATTACTGGGCAAATAATTGGACCATTTGAGCCTGTTTCTCCTCTGAAATGATGACAACCATACCTCCCTCACTGAATATCAAAGAGACAATGGCTGGAGAGAGTTGGACACAAGGAGACACTCTATAAACATTAAATTATCACCTCCCCTATCCCCTTTAGTAGTAGCTTACACAAAAATCAGGTACCCTGAGTTTGATCTTGGGCTCATTTTCTGTCAGATATTTCTTCATGTTCTGTGTGCCTATTTTTTTTTTTTATCATTATCCCAGGACTGGTTGTAAAATGTTCCATTTAACATTGTCAGTTGACTCAGCTCTTAGGTACTATAACTTTATTTTAGTAGCTTATAAACTTTTATTGTCATAATTCACATTTGTGCCATTTTTCATCTGACATTTCTAGTAGCTGATTGAAATCAGGAGCATCTCTTGCAAAAGGAGACAAAGTGAAGACTTTAGGTCTAGAATGGGGCTAACTAAACTTTTCCAGAACTCAGCTTACATGGACAGAGAGGTTAAAAACTTGAGAAAGAATGTGCCACATAAAGAGTCTGGTGGCTCATCCATACATGTCATTGTAAATGCTCACGTGAACCTTAGGGTTATCTTTAGTAGTAGATGTAGCTAATTAGCAATGAGTATTAGTCTGCAGATGTCATAGAGCACTCACAAAATATTTGTCATTCTTCAGAATTTCCCCAGATGGCTCTTGCTCTGCTCAATTTATTTGTTCAATGAAAATTAGCGGGGGCAGGAGGGAGAAATGACCCAAATAATGCATGCACATGTGAAAAAATGAGTAATAAAAAAAAAAGAAAATTAACATTTAGAAAATTTCATGTATCAGGAACTGGGCATTCCAAGTTGCTTAAGAGAAGTTCATAGATTACTACAAGACATGTAAATGGTAATTACTTGGAGTATTAGACCTCATAGATACCAAATAAAAAGTTTCTGTTTGTTGTAAACTATCGCCATTTTAGAGTACTTTTGGATTGCCAAATCCTCTAAACTAGCTCTCTTATTTTATAGATGAAAGTGTGAAGGCACTGACAGGTAAAGTTGCAAAACCACTGCACAGAGCCCTTTTTTTCTGACCCTTACAACTAACTCATCATGATTATTCCCGGTTGGTGCCAATGGAAGTACCAATATTATGATGTTCCTTGACAACTTCTCAGCACTTTAAAAATGTCTGGATGAGGCTGGGCATGGTGCCTTATAATTGTAGTCCTAGCTACTCGGGAGGTGGAGATCAGAAAGATGCTGGTTCAAGGCCAGCCCTGGGAAAGTTTGTGAGACCTCATCTCAACCAATAAAAGTTGAGCATTGTGGAATATGCCTTCATCCCAGCTACAAAAGGATGAGCCCTGTCCTTTCCAGTCCCTATTAGATAGGCTCGTTACCTACAGGAAAAGGTTATCCAGGCCTCCCACCTAACATATTTCACTTTCTTGTCAGCCCTTAACATTATTCAGACAGATCAATCACGTTGTTCTTCTGCGGGAACCAGGGTTCATCATACCCATCAATTACTACAAGGCCGGTGCCCAACAGACCACTTTATTCTGAGTGCATTCCCCATGTCGCCCTGCACAGTTACATCCTGCTTTCCAGGCTGTGAGTGTATGTGACTGAGAAACTGCTGTCATTCTCATACGTCCAGTGTCAGGTGCCTGTATTTAGCCATCTTGGGGAGGAGGCAGGGAGCCCTTTCCTCACCAATGGAATGAATAGCAGGTGATCAGAATCTGTGTCCATCACAGAATTCAAGATCAGTTCTACATAGGATATATTTCGCAAGTACATAATCAGTGGTGTTTTTTGTTTTTATGAGAAAAAGGAAGAAAGAGTCCTCCAGAATATCCCTCTGTACTACTATCTATTACCAAGTATTCTGGCTTCTAACTACACCAGGGAGAGCAAGCCCCACCAAATCATAGGGCAAGAAGCAGTGGGAACAGAACACAGGTGGGGCACATTACATCCAGGAAGTGTCATTCCCAGAAGTAAAATAGGGGTGAGTATAAGTTCTGCATAGACCAGATGGATGTGTGAGCATGGAGCTGATTATCTCATGTGATCAGAGTGTTTCAGAACCTGGAAATGGTGCAGGTAAAGGTTGCACTTCAGTCCAACAGTCTGCTGTTGCAGCAACTTGGGTTTTTATGGGGCACTTTAACTACAGACTTTAGCAAAAATATCCATACATACTCTCAGTTGGTAAACTCTGCCTCTCAGTAAATCTCTTCTTTTGAAGATGACTAAATAGAAAAAAAGGCCAACATAGGAAAAAAAAGTGAATATAATAGATATCACTAC